TTTGCCAAAAGCCATGTGGGGGACACAGCAAACATGTGGAAGAAGGTGCTCTGGTCAGATGAGACCAAAATGGAACTTTTTGGCCAAAATGCAAAACGCTATGTGTGGCGGAAAACTAACACTGCACATCACTCTGAACACAATTATTCCCACTGTCAAATATAGTGGTGGCAGCATCATGCTCTGGGGGTGCTTCTCTTCAGCAGGGACAGGGAAGCTGGTCAGAGTTGATGGGAAGATGGATGGAGCCAAATACAGGGCAATCTTGGAAGAAAACCTCTTGGAGTTTGCAAAAGACTTGAGACTGGGGTGGAGGTTCACCTTCCAGCAGGACAACGACCCTAAACATAAAGCCAGGGCAACAATGGAATGGTTTCAAGCAAAACATACCCATGTGTTAGAATGGCCCATTCAAAGTCCAGATCTAAATCCAATCAAGAATCTGTGGCAAGATCTGAAAACTGCTGTTCACAAACGCTTTCCATCTAATCTGGCTGAGCTGGAGCTGTTTTGCAAAGAAGAATGGGCAAGGATTTCAGTCTCTAGATGTGCAAAGCTGGTAGAGACATACCCTAAAAGACTGGCAGCTGTAATTGCAGCAAAAGGTGGTTCTTCTAAGTATTGACTCAGGGGGCTGAATAATTATGCACACCCCACTTTTCAGTTAATTATTTGTAAAAAATGTTTGGAATCATGTATGATTTTCGTTCCACTTCTCAAGTGTACACCACATTGTATTGGTCTTTCACGTGGAATTCCAATAAAATTGATTCATGTTTGTGGCTGTAATGTGACAAAATGTGGAAAAGTTCAAGGGGGGCGAATACTTTTGCAAGCCACTGTAAGTAAAATAAATTATGTGGAGACGTATGGAAACACAGCAGGAACAATATACCGAGACAGGGCTTGCAAAACTGAAAAGAATGCACAAGGGACAAGGTCTATCAAAATCAGACTTTTTATTTTTATGTAAGTGTTTGTCTTATAGTATGTCTCGCACAAAGTACTGCAGCAATTTCCTAATGTTGTAAATCCACTCAACATTTAGCAATAAAACCCATCGGATTCTGATTGTGAGACAGGAGGGCATGGGCAATATGGGGGAATGAAAACTCAAGCAACCGAATAACTGGATGACCAAACTAACACCAGAAAATACAAATACTAAGCGGAATTACAACTATAATAAGATACAAAACCTGGAACACAATCTTAACCTCAGAATGTTAAATAAACCAGAATCAAAATTCCAAACACATTAACACTGGGTCACAGACCCAGGACCATGACATCTTCAGAGTTATGAAATACCTGTTCATGTTCCGTTTTTGAGAGCCTCCAAGTTTTGTTACTTATATTTCTAGTTCTTGATTCTTGCATTCATGCGTCTTCACTTTAATTGCTGTGTGTGTGTGTGTACTGTATGTTGTCAGTCTGGTCTTCATGTCTTTCCTTGTTGTCTCTGTCTACATCATATCTCCTATTCTTTGTCTAGTGTTCATGTCTGTGTTCTGATTTTTGCCACTTCCTGTTTTATTTTGTTAGTCTCCATCTCATCTGTGTTACATTCAGTTTTGCTTCCTCTGTCACATCAAGCGTAATCTGTTCCTTCTGTGTTCCCGAGCTGTTTCCACTACCCTTATCACCCTCCTGTGTCTCAGTCTCACTGTCCATTGTTGTAATTGTCTTCTCTTTACCGTCAAAACTGAGGCTTGCTTACTAAGACCACCATTAAGCTGTGCTTGAAATGGCCCTGTGAGACACCTATAATGCAATCTGTTAGCTTTTAGAAACTTGTCTACAGATTCTGTTGTGGCTTTAGAACTGCCAGACCTCTTCGTGGCTGAATTTTCCCCAGTGTCTGAGTGTCTTAATTGTGAAGGAGACTGTGCTCACTTACACCTTGACTTTCTTTTCAGTTTCTCTCTAGGAAGGATCTACACTTTATGTTGTGATGGTCTGTCTCTCAGCCATTGTTAATTGCCTTTTTCACACCATTTTTATAGCAACACACTACAATACTATTCAAATATTGCTCACAGATAGGGCTGGGTATTGATTTCAATTTCCTGTAACTGATTTGATTCAGATTGACATGGTCCCGATTCGATTCAATTTGATTCAGAGTCAGAAATACTAGAATTCTGGTATGTCTTTTTATAGCAGATAACCCACCTTTAAAATATTCTGCAGTAGATCAAAAACTGAAGAAAATCATGAAACAACATATGAACATTACCTGATGCTGCTGAAGTGAAGCGGAGCAACGTCACAGAGGTTTTATTAGAGACACAGCTAAGTGTTTTGCAATTTGGCGTCATTTTAAAAAGTGTAAAATTCTTCTGTATTAAACAGCAGAAATCAGACTTTCATGTCGGCAGTCATTTTTGAAAAAAAAAAAAAAATGACAACAAAAAACAGCAGCTGACAGCACCGAAAGACAATGGTAGACTCATAATAATAAGCAAGTAAATAATGCACAAAACAGTTTTAAATGCGAAACTGTTCTTGAAGTACACTGAGAAAGAGCTGTGGAGGAAGTGTGATTTTCATCGTGGTGGAAGCAAAATAGCCAAAGTAAGATAGGGATTAATGGCGATGTTTATCAAATGTGAAGCAAAGTTTTGATCTTCTTTTGCTGCTGGTTTAGTTAATTTTGGTCGGGAGTGATGAAATGTGCAGCTTCAGAATCTGTGAGATTTCAGCCGTGACAGCATGTACGTGTGCATGGTGTTGGGATTTAAATATATATTCTTAGTGCTCATTTTCTGATTATATTGTTTTATGTATTTTAATAAGAGAGGGCCAGCTCTGAAGATCTGAGCCAAAAGTACTGACAGGAAACTGCATGCTTTTGCAGAGCACTGGAGGTGCAGGCAGAAAGTGAAACTAAGCAGTGTTTTGATCAAAACCTAGTGTGTGTGACGTGCTGCGGAAATATATAAATAACCATGCTGTCTGCTGCTGCTTTCAGACCTGAGCTTGTGTCTTTGTGTGCTCAGTCTCCTTTTCCGGAAATGTAAAATAAAGATCATTTTTTGAGTTTTGACTCTCTGAGCCCAGTCTTTTTCAGCCGCTAAAAGAATGCAAAGAACCAAATTTAATAATGGTGAATGGGGTTGATCCCCGCTTTGTGTTTACATCTTTTGCAGAATCCATGTACCTGCTCTCATTTGCTGTTTTAGCTGTTTGGTGGTTGTTGAAACAGTTTCATGAGCTTTAATCTGAGATTCTGCATTTCTGGCAAAATACATTTATATCTAAAACCCGATTCAGGATTTAATGAATCAATATCGCATTATTCAAACTAAAATGGATTCAAATTGGGGAAATCAATTTTTTAAAACCCACCCCTACTCACAAGGGCATGATACCGCATTGCATTCCAACACAAATTTCGCACCCATTCCTGCAGATAGATCCCCCACACTCCCACATTTGATTATTGCACATAAAGGTTCAAAAGGATAGGTATAGGTGTACATGCACAGACCTTCAGTATGTGATGATCAATGTTTTGGTCCATCTTTAGTACGTCCTGAAGGTAAGTGACTAATTTCATAGTGGGATCACCACTGGTTAAAGACAGGAAACCTAGAAGAAGCTCCACAATCTTGAGTGCCGCGCACACCTCGCTGTATGAGTCGAGCTCTCTGGACACAGTGTTCTGGGCCAGAGAGGACAGAGGAATCTGGTAGAGAAACAAAATGTTAGTGAAACTAAAAGCTTCAATTTAAATTTTCCCTTTATTACTGTATGAATGCAAATGTAAATAAATGTCAAATATAATGCTTGAGCAGAACATTTTAGTGTAATAACAAAAAGTCCATTCATCAAGAAAATCTTCCAAATGTGTATTAGTGCTTTATTTTAAACTGAATATTGGTCATTTTTAAACTTGTCACAAATTTTCTGAAGAATCCTGGACTCGTTTTCTGCCCCTGGAAATATCGTGTCTCATTTTGGGTTTGTAAATAGATATATATAACTACACAATTACAGCTATTATATCAAAGTGTATCAATATTTAATTGTGTTGTCTTCTGCAAAAGGAAACTAAACAGGACTTGTTACTTTACCTGTGGCACTTTTCCACAAACAGTTTTGAAAATGGTGTCATAGTCTCTCTCCTGTGTGTTGACCAGCACGGGAATTCCCTTAATAAAAACACATGAAACACAACAGAGAAATAACTAAAAAAATAAAATAATTGTGATCACACAGAATAGATAGAATACTGAGAAGTCAAATGATGAGAATCACCCATTATAGTTAATCAACACAATAAATACAATCTTGGTTTGCTTAGCATAGCTACAATGTGCTACAAGGGATTTTGCATGCCCACATCTACATGTTATAGCAGTGTACTGTCAAGAATATGTGGAACAAAGAATAACTGACCTACTATTGATTATGTTTGTCTGATCACTTTTTCTATTATGACAGAGGTTATAAAAGAGTGTTTGTCATATGCCCTTTTTAAAACAAATCTCTTTGGGGTGATGTCTGATTATATTCAGTTTTTAAAAAACATTTTCCTAATTGGGTTTTCATTTACTCAAACCTATTATAATATTGTCAGAATTAAAAAAGTCTTCTTTCAACGACTCATTGCCTTTACTATAATTAGACCAATGGTATTTGTTTCTGTAACAACTTCAAAAGGTCTATTCTGAGCTTAAAAATTCCTAAAGGTGGTGTGCAATCAGGACAGCATATATATCTATATACAGCTGTTTCAGTTTAAGCATTGTTTTCAATAAATTGAATGCTCAAAATAATGTTTTGCCTCACTCCCATTTCTTCTTGTTGCATGTTGAAGGTCTACTTGGAACCTTGTTAACCCTTTAAGACCTACCATAGAACCAAGTCCGCCAGAGCTTATATTATATTTTTACATGCTGTAGTGCCATTTTTGGGAGCATTTCAAGTTGCTATACATCAATACAACCATTATAGCCCAGATTTTAATAATATGTATGCATTAAGTGCATAGTAATTACATAAATTGCAAAAAAGTGCAATAAACTACAAAAAAATTGAAAATCGTTTTTGCTTTTTTAACATATATTTCTAGTTAGAGAAATTTAAGAGGCTTATCCCTCAAAACTGTAAATACAAAAAAGTTGCACAAAATAGTTTCCCACCACAGGAAATTTATTTTGAGTGTCTTCATAGTTTTATTTTTGAAATACACCAATTTTTATATACTGCAGGAAAAACGAAAATAAATATTATAATGCAAATTTGCAAAAAAGCAGCATATGCATCAAAATAAACAATTTCCAGCAGTGCAATTTGAGTCCTAAGCATCCCAGAAACGACACAGAAAGTCATAAAGTCAAAGATAACCTTTAAAACCACCAGTATAGGCTCATGAGGCCCAGATGGTAAAAAAAACTACATTTCCGCGAAAATGACGTCACTTCCTGTTTTGGGCAGGTCATGGCGGACATGCGAAAGTTCACGCTGACGTCTATTCCAACATAGGAAGTGTTATAAACAGCTGATCGGATCGGCAAAGCGTGTTTCTGGAATATTATGTTTTTGTTGCTGCAAGCGCTTTTTATGCAGTTTTTGCAAAGCTATATGTGGAAGGAAACAGTGACCTAGGATAAGCTGATGGCATAAGATGTAAGTACAACTCCTCCGGTTTCATATGCAAAAAAAATTATTGCGCTAGCTTAAGTGGTTGCAGATCTACCGGGATTTAAAAATAATTACGCAAAACAGAGCGTGCCCGCTCCAATCGGTTTTAAAGGGTTAAGATCCAACCATGCAAGATATGATTTTTTTGCCATTTTTCAAGTGGTCTTAAACTTTTGATCGGGACTGTATTAGTTAGTATTTCATTTAGGTTTGGGAGATATTTTAACCAACCCAAGCTGTGTGGACTCACTGCGCGGGTAATGAGAGGTTTTCCCTGCAGAAAATGGGTGAGGATCTGCTGTTGGATCCTGGGCAGGTCATACTCAGATATTGTCTCGTGGCCACGTTCCAAGCTGTACTGGCAGTTAGACAAAACCAGAGGAAACAGGTCCTTCTCCACATCATAGCAGATCACATGGTGCTCCATTAGCTCTGACAGACTCACTGTGTAGTTACTGCAGACATCACAATGTAGATATGAACTTTAACCTTTCAACATTTCTTTGTCCAAATAAATTTTTCAGTGAAAAAAATACAAACAAGCTCAACCCAACCTGAATTATAATACAGAGGAGGAGGGTGCAAGAGGAAGGTGCCCGAGGGCGATCGTCCATGGGGCCCGGCCGAAAAAGGGATATGGGCCAATCCTCCTGCAGGCCCACCACCTGCAGGAGGCACTGTAGGGTCGGGTGTATTGTGTGCCAGGCGTCAGCCAGGAGCAGAGGCCCTGGCAGACTTATTCCCGGCTATCAAGACTGGCAATTGGGACAAGGAATGTCACCTTTCTGGTGGGGAAGGAGGCTGAGTTAGTGCATAAGGTCGAGAGGTACTGGCTACATATAGTTGGGCTCACCTCAACGCACAGCTTGGGCTCCGGAACCAGTGTCCTGGAGAGGGGCTGGACTCTGTCTCAGTCTGGAGTTTCCCCGGTGGGTATTTTAGTATCCCTTCAGATTGCTGCCTGTACGTTGGGGTTTCTCCCAGTGGACAAGAGGGTCTGTTCCCTGCGCCTTCGGGTCGGGCACAGGGAACAAACCCTCGCCACTCAATGCATAAGTGCAGACTGTCGTCTGCGCTTATGCATCGAGTGGCGGTTCAGAATACCCAGCCTTCTTGGAGTCCCTGGGTGGGGTGCTGTAGGGTGCTCCGCCTGGGGACTCTGTTGTCCTACTGGGAGACTTCAATGCTCACGTGGGCAACGACAGTGAGACCTGGAGGGGCATGATTGGGAGGAACGGCTTCTCGGATCTGAACCCGAGCGTTGTTTTGTTGTTGGACTTCTTAGCAAACCACAGTTTGGCCATAATCAACACCAGGTTCGAGCATAAGAGTGTCCATAAGTACCCGTCACACCAGAACAATTTAGGCCTCAGGTCAATGATCGATTCTGTAATCGTATCACCAGACCTAAGGTAATACGTTCTGGACACTGAGGTAAAGAAAGGGGCTGAGCTGTCAACTGATCACCAGGTGGTGAGTTGGATCAGGCGGCAGGGGAGGACGCTGGACAGACCTGGTGCGCCTAAACGTATAGTAAGGGTGTGTTTTGAATGGCTGGCAGAGGCCCCAGTCTGCGAGATCTTCAATGCACACCTTGGTTAACCTGCATTCCAGTCTGCACCTGAGTCCTCTCCCTACCAGTGACAAATGTAGGTGGAGCGCTGCTGACTTTGACTGAGAACATTGTCGGGCGGTGGAAGGAATACTTTGAGGACCTTAATCCCACTGGCACGTCTTCCGTGGGGGAAATAGAGTCTGGGGATGAGGGGGATGACCCACCAATCTCCGGGGCCAAGGTCACTGAGGCAGGTCCGCTCTGAGTTCCTGAAGGCTCTGGATTTTATAGGGCTGTCCTGGTTGACATGCCTCTACAATGTTGTGTGGAGATCAGGGGCAGTACCTCTGGATTGGTAGACTAGAGTGGTGGTTCCCATCTTTAAAAAAGGGGAAAGGGTGGAGTGCCCACTCCCAAGTGGAGTAGTTTAAGAATCTCGGGGTCTTGTTCACTAGTGAACAAGAAGGAAGCAGGAGAACGATAGACAAATCGGTGTTGCGGCGGCAGTAATGCAGACACTTTACTTGTCTGTCATGGTGAAGAGAGAGCCGAGTGTCAAAACAAAGAAGACCCAGGACACACTCGAGAGTTTATATCTCTCAGCTGGCCTGAAGGTTTTCCCCCGGACAAGCTGGAGGAGGTGGCTGAGGAGAGGGAAGTCTGGGCTTCTCTGCTTAGGCTGGTGACCCTGCGATCCGGCGCCAGATAAGTGGAAGAAGATGGATGGATAAATAGCAATAACTCAAGAATTGGACATTGGCTATAGATTTCTCTGTATCTTTGTTGAGCTACAGTGAAAAGATAGACTTGTAACAACAAAAGAATTTAATACTTAAACCCCTCAGAGACACTTCAGACAGAAGTGAGGACTGGTACAGATGGATTAAAAAAACCCCATAACCTTAATTTACCTGTTGTCCTCTCCTGTGTGGTGGTCCACTGCATTCATCAACTCATTGTGGAGAGTCACCAGATAACTGAGAAGCCCTGTGGCACACAGGCCTGGACCCTGCCGACGGGGCAGGAGGTACTGCAAGTCACTGTCCAAGTCCAAATCCCTGCTGCAAAATTCCTCTGGAATTTTTATTTCATCTATAGTTTTCAGTGGACAGATAAATAATTCCTTAATTCAAATACAAAAACCTCTCTGAATCCATTTATTATGTAACTGGTCCATTTAATCACCCAAAAGAAAAAACTTTTTTTGTGATATATTCACAAAACCGTGAGCATGTTCTCAAAAGATGTGAAACTACTGAAGATTTGCACTGTTCCTGTTTTAAATAAATTAAGCTGAAGTTAAAGCCAGCTTAATTTAAATGTAGTTAAATGTAGAAAATTTAATTTACTTACTGCTGGTTACAGAAACTCTTAGCTGATTCCATGTTTCCAGGAAGGTCTCAATATGTTGTTGATACCATTGCCTCATTTCTGAAAAAGTAATAAAAAAAAGTTTATTTTTGTATGACATTGTATGAAACAATTCATTTCAGTTCAGTTTTATTCATATAATGTAGGGTGACCAACCGTCCTCTTTTCTCCGGACATTTCCACTTTTCATGTTCTGTCTGGGGCGTCCGTTTCGAGATGGATAAAAATGTCTGGGTTTTCCTATAGGCCTACAGAGGACCCATAGGTGCAACGTCATCCCTGAGCTGCTGTGTTGTAAGTGGTTTTTCCGCGCTCACAGACCGGACAGAGCGCGAAGCGGCGCACTGAAAAGATGCCAAAGCGCAAGTGCATCTTTTCAGACAAACTGCAAAAGAAATTTCCCTCGTACCATCCTGGTCGGAATAAATGGGAGGCGTAGTGCACTGTGTGCAGAGCTGGCACATAACGTTTGTGTGTCTAACAAAGGTGCTGGAGATCTTGTTGCTTACATGGACAGAGAAAAACATAAAAAGGCTGTGCGAGGCGAAACTTCATCTAGTATGTTGACTGAGTCCTTTGTTATACCTGGGAAAAATGAGGATGCTGTTGTTCTGCAGCAGAAGGTGCACTGACATTTCATACTATGAAGCATCACAGTAGCTACAGAACCATGGATTGCACTAGTGTGTTGCTATAAAAAACAAAAAAACAAAAACCCGATTCCAGAGTTTAACAAAGCTAAAGGTTTAGCAGTGCCCGCACCAACACTGAAGCTATTGTCAATGGTGTGATAGTGCTACATTCAGTGGAAGTCACTCTTGAAGTTCTTAGTGAAATCCAGTACTATGGCATTTCTCAGACTTAAGTAACCATGGGACAGGGAAAATATTACCAATCCTACTTTGACTGGAAGAATGGTGGCGTGCAAACAAAATTAACTGGGGTTAGAAACACCAAATGAGACAACAGAAACCATTGCACAATACCTCACTGGTACCTCACTATAATTTTTCTTATACAGATGACGCATTATTATTATATTTTTTTGCACTTGTTGACTTGTAAAATCCTATATGACATTTTTTATTTCATCATTCATTGACCGCACAAAGAAGGCATCTTTTAAATATGTTAAAATTTTCTTTAAACAAACAGTATTATTGTCTGTGAAGGTTCTCAGTCATCCAGGTCATCGTAGTCTAAGAAGCTTGGAAAGAAAAGCGTCTGGACTTCTTTAAACAGTATTATTCCTTAAACAGTATTATTAAATTTCTTCATGACTGGGCCAAATGTCCTCTTTTTTGGAAATCAAAATATGGTCACCCTAATATAATGTCAAATCACATACTGACTTTGATGTACTTTGACAGATTTTCACATTAAAACAAATAAGTAGATTAACCATTTAACTATTCACATTTTGAGAAAAACCAGGTTTAGGTCTACATAATCTCTATACCTGTTTGCTGATCTATGAATTCTCTGATGGAGCCCACGATCTCTTCAGTTGCGTTCTGGTACTTTCTCACCAAACGTTTCTGCAGGATTAGGATTTCAGGGAGGAATTTGATATGTCGAAACTCTCTCTCCTGTAAAAAGAAAACACAACATAATTGCCCCATAAAATAAATAATAGACAACAGGAGCATATACAACAAGAGGAATATATACTAAACAGGAGGAAGGCACACAATAGAAATAGAAAATAATTTTGTGAAAGCTTTACATCTGTGTGACACACACCTTCTGCAGGAACCTCCAGAGCAGGGGGAGCTCCTCCTTTTGATCATTAGTCTCCATAATGTGTGTGAGGCTGAGCAGCGACAGCCTCTCCCTGCAGCTCCACACTGCTGAGCTGTTGACCTCAGAGCCCTGTTGCAGTGGGGTGAGGAAGCTACAGTCATCACCGTGGATCGTCCTTATGATGAAGTTGGAAGATACACGGGAGTCATTTCGAATGGTTCCCTTTGCCTCTTGTAGGAGTTGGTCAAGGTCCTGGACACAAAATATTGGCAAAAGCAATTATAGACAAATAAGACTGAAAAAAATATCAGTTATAAAATGAAAAAAGTCAAAATATGTAAACGGTGATTTTAAAGAATTACCTTCAACTTTGGTGTCATAATATCTGTAGCCACAGTAGTCTCCCAGGTGTTTCTGGATTCTTTGGATGTAAGGTAAGGGTCAATAGTAGCTAAAAAAAAAAAGTTTACATAGCCATTGGTTAAACAGTCAAATACCAGTTTCCATATTTGTTGACATTTAACCGTCCCAAACAATTCCTGTCTAAGGAGGTCTGCTTTATTCAAATTATTATTAAGTTTCTTTTCACAGTCTTGTATGTCTTTTGACAAATGGCTTCCTTACAGTTACTGGCATGTGGTAGTTCTTGAAGTGATCTGAGCACCAAGTGAACAGATGTTACAGTGTCGTCAGCTCCTTTTCCCAGTGCCTGTGACAGCTGTTCAAGATCCTTTATTATGTGCAGCCTGAGAAACAAACTGACATCCTCCACAGGTGGCTGGATTATCTGTTGGACAACCTGAAAAATAGTGGATGACAGCATCATGCTACATGCAAGACAGCAACATCGTTCACTGAGTTTAACTATTTTGCAGAATATTAATCACTGAGCTATGATCGTAGTTTCATCAATTCACCAAAAGCTGCTTAAATATCACAGCTACTGTACAAAATAGCTTTAGATACTTTATTTATGATGGTTAAGAGCCCTAAATTAGAGCTCACCTGGGGTTTCTCTGAGGCTCCCAGCATCATGGCCAGATGTGTAACAAGCCGGACCAGAGTAAAGGGAGTCAGAGACATGTTTTTGGTGTTCAGGGCATCGGGATTGTTTCTCCGTTGAGGGTCTCCCAGAATATGGCCAGGACATGTTTGATCCCTAAACCAACAGAATTGGGTCAGATAGGAGAACAGAGGAAATTATTTCCTAGAGTTGGAGAGTAGGACTCAACACAAGTGGTGTGCAATTCTCTAATACTTTGTATCAATCCAATACCAAATAAATACAGTATTGCTATTGATATTGAGTTTGACACTGATTTTCAACTTATAAAGTCAGCCTGTGTAGACAAGAGTCGTGTTTCATGATGTATGCATGGCATCTGATAAACCATTAGCATAATTAAATGTTTTTTAACAGATATACCATCCATACCATATCATAAGGTTTGCTTATAGCTGAGTTTTTAGAATGATACCAAAAAAAGCAAATCTCTATACACATTTCTTCCTTAAAAAAAAACAAACAAACAAACATATAAAACCATAATTGATAGTTTTGAATGGTTCTCTCCTATATAATAGTGCACCAAAAAAGTCATATCATAGAAATTTAATAGCCAGGCCATTAAAGCAATCTAATGTCTAATAACAAGCATTATTTTGTTTAAAAATTAATAACACTCACTCATGTAACTGAACTTGTGTGACTCCAGGCAAGGCTCTATGATGTTCACCTCTGACTTCTTTTCCACACTCCAGACATTGGCCTCTCTTCGCTGGCTGGCCACACTGCAGTGTATAATGACACACATAGTATAATGTTACAACCTCATATTTGTGATCAATGTGGAAAATTAGTTAACTGCGAAAGAATAAAAATATCTTACCATATCAACACAGCATGGGTGATTATTTGGACAGACTGCAGAACAAAAAAAACAACAACTGAGTTATTAACATATAATATACACTGCAGTTAATTTGAGTGCAGGTTTATTTGAAGTGTTTCTAGACACAGGTCTCGCCATTTGTTAATCATCTTGGTAATGCATTTGGCCACTTTCTGGTGAGTTTTGAAGCATTATCTACATTTTTAGTGGTCACATGGACATAAAACCTCCATGTATAGAATAACCAATCAAATATAACACCTTATTTATTAAAAAAAAATGGAAAATAAGTAGAAAATTGTTTTTAAAAAAAACTTTTGCAAGAAAATATAATTGAATAATCTAATTGTTTTACTTGCTTATACAAAAGGATTAATACTTACCAAACCAGGTGAGCTGCCGACGATTATGCATGGCTACCTGGGCTACAGCCAGCATGTCATCAGGCATTGTGGGTATAAAAGCCCTCTGTAGGTTAAATGGAATATCAATTGTTTGTTTAAGCTATCCATCACAGAAAGTAAGCAGTACAGATTTAGAGAATTTTGTCTAACTCTCAAGGTCCCTAGTTTTGGTCACGGGGTAAATTTTTTTCTTCTTGGATTCATGTTGGAGTCTCATATATCTTCCTATGTTATTCTAGTGTTTGGTTTGTTGATTTTTATATTGACTTTTTATATGAGCATGTCACTGATGTCATTCCCTTTGTACTAACAACATACAATCCCAGGGGCTAGAATTGGCTTGCCAAAGGCTGCAATCTTTTGAATATTTTGTTTTTCTCGAGTGTTGGAGGTGCAGAGCCATTCCATGCCCTGGCGGAACCACCTGTAATTCATCACCCTAGTCAGCCGCAATACACCGGGACCAGTGCTGTGATCAAGACCTCGCCAGATTAACAGCGTATTCAGTGTGCTAAATAAGCCAACGTATTCCTTTCCTCCAGTGTTGGCCATTTCATTCATTGGTTTAGTAACTGAATTCTATGCCTCTGTGTTCTTAGACAGATTTTGTACTTTTAACCATATTTTCAGAAGCTTTTCCTACTGAAAAAAGACTTCCATTTTCTGTTAATGAGACATTTGTTTAATAATTAGTAAATTCCAGGATGAGCTACCAGAACTTTGTCATTTTATACAACCAAACCTGACCATGGTTATTCAAGTCAACAGGAGGGATAAATGCACATCATGGCCCCCACTTGTCAAGTGATTTATGGGGGCAAGTAATAAAACTGTAAATACAATTGACTGACATAAAATGTTGTAAAGTTCTAGTAATTCATAACAGGTTTATAATAATTAATAATGTGATTAGTAAATATAATTAACAATAATATGTGAGAGATATGATTCAGTCAAAAAAAATATGGAACAATGATTCATATGTGTTTACTTGTTAGTGTGTTTAGCTTGTGTGTAAATACATGTGTAAATTAAATAGCTCATTCATAATTAAATGGGTGTTTTGTGATAACTGATTGGCTTATACTGACCCATTCTAAATCACCATGCAAATCTATCTATATTTGGACTGATTAGTCATTTAGTGTACATTTAGCTACAAACATTTAATATTTTTATATCCCCACCAAGAATATATACTGATATATACTGATATTCACCTGCATTTTTTCAGGACTCAGACCAAGATGCTTGAGTGGCGTCAGCAGACAATGATTCCCAGTGAGCAGCACAGTTGCCACATGGATAATCAGTTCAATGACAGTGTTCTCCTCAATAGTATTACCAGGTTGGATGGTAAGGGCACCCAGCCTGTTGTTAACTAAGGCTGAAGCAAACATCCTTACTTCTTTTTGAGGCAGATAACTTGAGCCATTGATGAGTTCATCAAATGCACAGCAATGCTGCAGGAGGTGAAGAAGACATTTAAGAGAGGCTATGAAAAGATTTTCATAGCACCATCAAACAGAAGAACTGATCAATTACATGTAGAAAAGAAAATGTCAAATTTTCTTTTCTACATGTAAAAGAAAATTTGACATTTTCTTTTCTTTTTCCAGATTTGAACGCTATTGTTGTAGTGACGTTCTTGTGGTAGAAATTTGTGATTTTATTTTATAAAATATGTTTGTCATAACAAGTATTAATCCATGGGTCATAACAATTTTAACAATCTTGCAGAAACCTTTCCAACCTTTGTGTCTATGGACTGCAAATAAGGCTTTATCTTTTATACTCAAACTCAGAGTCAGTTTTCTGTAAATACAATTCCAGAATCCATGTTTAACGAATAACATCAAGAACTCCATTTTCTGCATTTGTCCATTTTGTCATTGTTCATACCTCAGCAGTAGGATGAAGACCCCCGTTTTCAGATCTGTACAGAGTTGTAACCTCTCGAAAAAGAGCCAGCAGGAGAAATACTGTCCGATTCCTTGGTGATACTGTACATTTCTAGTATATTAAAAAATGAATAAAAACTATAAAGTATAAATAGATATCTGGAGTGTCATGCTGACATAAAGCATATCAGGACAGTGCTGTGCACTTCATGAAAAATGTTTTAATCAGTTACCCCAGAATGGGATTTCATTAAAGTAGTATAACAGTAGCAGCAAGGTAAACTATACAAAACAGGGTTTGTGGAACATTTTTGTGACAGCAAAAAAATATAACAGTAATAGGTAGATGAAACATGAAGGAGTGTCCGTAATATATTTATTACAGGACAGAAATACCTCACAGACTTCTTCTATCTGCTCGATGTTGCTGTCTACTAGTGCCTTGGCAACTGCATCTCTCACAGCCTTGTACTCCTCTCCATACACAAGATACTGGTCCATCAGGCCATCTTCATTCTGTCCACACTATCAATGGGATTAGAGAAGCAAATATGTTTAAGTAAATGTATTAGCCCTGAGATTTTTTGGTGACTCTGTGAAACAGTTGATTATTTGAAATAAATTTTACACAATGGTTTGTTCCCATGTTTTTGTAAATGAAAAGCTACATAAAATCAGATTATTAGCATCTGTGCTATGGACAGGCCTGACAGGTCTGTAAAGGTCATTGTACTCCCTCAACTTAAGTCTGCTCACCTGCTTTTACAAGTATAAGTAGAACTGAGTCAGTTTGATCATGATAGACATACACAGCCAAGGGGATTAACAAACAAGTTCCAGTCATTGAGTACATAACTAGCATGACAATTACTGTGACTTCACAGCAGCTAGTCAAAAATCAATCAAAACTTTATTTATGTGGCACTTTTCAGACAATATGGATGCAATTCAAAGTGCTGTAGACATTAAAACCAGGAAAAAACAATACGCATACATGTCCTTCACTACACCCTGCACCTAATTTAAAAGGAAGGCCTAGTTTTGTTAAACGCTCAACAGTCTCAGGTAGACTGTTCCATAAATGTGGAGCATGATAAATAAAAGATGCCTAGGGCTAAAAGTAAATCAGAAAGAAGGCCTTGAACCATTGAGAGGCCTAAAAACCAGCAGAATTATCTTAAAAATTAACTCTGGAACTGACTGGGAGCCAGTGCAAGGACCTTAAAAATGGTCCTTGTTAATAGAAGTGGAGCCAAGTTTGGAAGCAGTTGCAGCAGTGACAAAGATTTGTTCGGAAGACCAGAAAGAAGAGCATTATCAATCCTGCAGGTAATAAAAGCGTGAATATGCTGATGGACTGGCGTCTACCCTGAAGATTTTGGAACGGAGGTTCAGTCACGAATGTCAAGTCAAATGCTGTCGTTTTACTGTGTCAAGCTATTGCATTAATTTATCCTTCACTATGTTTGGCACCCTCTAAAGTAGGTGTATAGGAATTTCTTTTATTTATGTATTAATCACATTATTTTATTGTATCATGCCTCGGTGCCACTGGATTTTAACATGTCTCACACTCATACAGTTAGACAGATGGTGGGGGTCTGGTAAGGAAGTTGGGGGAAGCAGACAACTCCACAGGAATAGTCTTTTGTCTCTTCAACGACTCTGGGAGGTAGCAAGGGAGTGTGAAACTTAAGGTGTGAAACAGCTGTGTACTGCCTTTGTAACAGGCTGGGTCTCTGACCCAGCGCTCTGAGTTCATTTTGTATTTGTCTCATTTTAGATTTGTGATTAGTTTATGTGTCATTCCTATTTCGCTTTAGTTAAGGAAAGGCAGTTTATTGTTTGCTTGGTTTCTATGTTTGAGTTCTTGTATCGTTCATCAC